TAAAAAAATATTATTATGTCATCAAAATTGCTACTTAAGAGACTCAGCAAACAAACACTCCTAAGTGAGCTAATATGATTTATGGTAGTAAGAAATAAAAACTCCATTTGCTAAGCTAACACATGACTGATGGAAATATACTGAAGAGTCCTCCAGGTTCTGACACTGATGTTTTCTGAATGTAAGTGGAACAATAGGATAGTAAAAGGAGATTGCCAAGAATTAAAAGCTTCTTTTACAACTCTTCACACTTGCTTGTTTGCTTTTTTTGCCTAAAAGATAGTAAGACTGAAGGGGAAGGGGAAGGAGGATGAAAGACAGATGAAAGGCAACAGCTCAGTGATGGAGGGGCTAAATCTATAACTGAAGACTGTAGCTTCCATTTGCCTATGGACACAGCCTCTGTGTCTGCCTCCAGTTTGCACAGTGATGCAGCGGAGTTTGAAGAAGAAGAAGAAGAGTTTGGATTTGATATCCCGCTTTATCACTACCCTAAGGAGTCTCAAAGTGGCTAACATTCTCCTTTCCCTTCCTCCCCCACAACAAACACTCTGTGAGGTGAGTGGGGCTGAGAGACTTCAGAGAAGTGTGACTAGCCCAAGGTCACCCAGCAGCTGCATGTGGAGGAGCGGAGACGCGAACCCGGTTCACCAGATTACGAGTCCACCGCTCTTAACCACTACACCACACTGAAAATGGGAGGGATGTACAGTGGTACCTTGGGTTACAGATGCTTCAGGTTACACACTCCACTAACCCAGAAATAGTACCTCAGGTTAAGAACTTTGCTTCAGGATGAGAACAGAAATCACACGGCATGGCGGCAGCGGGAGGCCCCATTAGCTAAAGTGGTACCTCAGGTTAAGAACAGTTTCAGGTTAAGAACGGACCTCCGGAACGAATTAAGTTCTTAACCCGAGGTACCACTGCACACATTAGATTCCATGGGTCCACTCCCAGATCCATTTGGAAACCGATTGGAGCCTGGACTGAACTGATCCATTTTGGTCCACAGCAACCACTAGACCATTCCAGGCTGCTCTGTTCCTCCCCTCAAAGCTCCAGAGGTGAGGTGGTGGTATTAAGCTCCAGGCACTGTTAATAGCAATGCACCCACAGTCCAAGGCTGGCTAACCTGTGGCTCTCTATATGCCATTGTACTCCATCTCCCATCAGTGTCAGCCAGAGTGGTCGTGGGTGAGGGGAGTTGCAGCCCCATGGATCTTAACAATCCTAGATATTGCCCTACATATTCACAATAGCACTTGATTGATGGCTCTGTTTACTGTTTACAGACTACTCAAAGCAGGCAGCGTTTCAGAAGCAGAAAAGGGATAAAAGACTCCCTCTCCTGCCTCATCTGAGGCCTTTCCCTCAAGTGCTATCAAAGGCTCAGTTTTGGGCTGGCTGAGCATTTTGTTGCTATATAGTGGGAGGGTGGGAAGGTTGGGAAATGTGTTTTCTCCTGAAACCTCCTGATATAGTGCATGGTATGTATCCCCACCCACCCAAAAGTTTGATATTGTTACAAAAGTTAGGTGTCTCCCCCTCTCTCTGCTGAGCGGTGGCAAGAGGTTCCAGCAGGTTCCAGGCACTCAGCCAGGGTCTGTGGTTCTTTGGAGAACTGAGATACGGGAGAGACTGTTGTAGCTTTAGGAAATATGGTTTATTGACCTACTTGCACTCAGTCTGCATGGAGGGAGTCCAGATCTTACAGTCATTTCAAGAGGGGCTTATGTCCCCCACAGAAGTACAGCCCTGGAGTCTAAGAAGGCATCTCTCGCAGCCTGCCCAAGATGGATCCCACTGTTGTTTCTCCTTCTCCTTCTCCTTCTCCTCCTCCTCCTCCTCCTCCTCCTTCTTCTTCGAAGCCTCCCAGAGTGGCTGCAGAAACCTCCCAGAGTGGCTGGGCAGTGTATTATTATTATTATTATTATTATTATTATTATTATTAATAATAATTTCTCCTCCTCCATCCCAGCAACCTTTGCTGGAGACTCTCTTTTCCTGTCACCTCACACCCAGTTCCCTTGGCAACCTTCCAAACCCCCAGTCTGTGTTCACACCTCAGGGCAAGCGCGGAGGACAGTTTTCTTGCATTGCCAATGGCTCTCAGTGGCCCTGTATTCTTTCTTAATGGCCCTAGCTTGGCCAGGTCGTTTTGCATAGCCTAGCCCAGGAATTCCTCTGAAGCTTGTATTTCTCCCTTCACATCCCAAATACCGTATTTTTCGCTCTATAGGATGCACCTTGTTTTAGAGGAGGAGAACAAGGGGAAAAAAATTCTCCCCCTCTCTGCTCAGCACCCCTTCAGCGAAGCGGCAGGAGAAACGGAGCCCCTTCCATTTCTCTTCCCACTTGGCTGAAGGGGCGCTGCGCAGCTCTCCCTCTCTGCGCAGCTCTCCCTCTCTGCTGAAGCCGGGAGAGTCTTGCTCTCCCGGCTTCAGCAAAAGGAACCCGAAGCCTTCGGAGTGCAGCGCGAGTTCCCGCTGCGCTCCGGAGGCTTCAGGCAGCTATCCCTGAAGCCTGGAGAGCGAGAGGGGTCAGTGTGCATGGGACCCAGAACAAAGGTGTCCTGCCCTTATATAGACATTTTAAATTCCCTGCCCTGGAGCTCAAGACCACCCCTCCATACATCATACATACATCACAGAAGGGGTGTAACCCAAGACCACCCCCTACAAACATCATACCTACATCACAGAAAAGGTGGTCTACAACAGAAATTTGAATGTTGTTGTTTTCCCCGTCTGCCAGGTTATCTCATAATGCCTTATCTGATTGCCTTTCCTGGTAGTCTGGTCATTCCTTTGAGATGGTGATTATCCAATTCCTGAGACAATGGGAAGGTTCCCTCACCCCCTTCCTCCTTGCAGAGAAAACATTTGGTCAGTTTGGGAGTCAAAATGGTTTCAGGACGGTTTTCCTGTGCTGTTCCAGAAATGTGGTCCACATATCTATGTACGTACTTGGTTGGTACATTTATGAACATTTATTATATATATATAAGACCTTAAATTTTTTATTACATATGCGCTTATCATTTTAAATGATGTTGTGGATCAGATATAGCCTTGGGAATGGCTCCTACTTATGCCTGGCCTGAATAAATCCTTTTATTCATCAACATATGCAGAACTACCCTTGGCATCTTGCGTTCTGCCAAGCTGGCGCAATTAGCTCTGAGCAAGTAACATTCCTTTCTCCAGTCTCTAAGAGTTACGAAGGGAGGGTGCCAACACTCTTGAACGCACTTAAACCATGGGGTTTGTCTTAACTCACACATGCTTTCGTAATAATGGATCTCGAGTGGGACAGGCGCCATGTGGGGATAATTAGATAATATTTGATGGAATAAGATTTCAGCATTGTTCCTCTGAATCAGCGGGATTGGCATTTCAATGTCTGCGCTCCAGTTTGGGACAAAAGGGGGGGGGAATCAGAACATGAGAGAGCTGTGTTTTTAAGAATGCATCTTAAATATATTCTGTTCTACCTTTAAGGAGTTTAGGGTGGTGTACTTACTTTACTCCTACAATAACCCTGTGTGCTACGTTGGCCTGTGTGTGTGTGTGTGTGTGTGTGTGTGTGTGTGTGTGAGAGAGAGAGAGAGAGAGAGAGAGAGAGAGAGAGGTGTCAAAGAAACCTGCCAAGCTTCATAAACAAGTGGGGTTTGAGCCACAGTCACCCTAGGCTAAAAAGGTAAAGGGACCCCTGACCATTAGGTCCAGTTGTGACTGACTCTGGGGTTGCAGCGCTCATCTCGCTTTATTGGCCGAGGGAGCTGGCGTACAGCTTCTGGGTCATGTGGCCGGCATGACTAAGCCGCTTCTGGCGAACCAGAGCAGCGCACGGAAACACCGTTTACCTTCCCACCGGAGCAGTGCCTATTTATCTACTTGCACTTTGACGTGCTTTCGAACTGCTAGGTTGGCAGGAGCAGGGACTGAGCAATGGGAGCTCACCCTGTCACGGGGATTTGAACCGCCAACCTTCTGATCACCAAGTCCTAGGCTCTGTGGTTTAACCCACAGCACCACCCGTGTCCCGTCAACCTAGGCTAAGGCCAGCACTAACCACAATCCCACATTACTTTATATGGAGTTGGAAGGGCACTGTCTTGGACAGAGAACCTCTGCACCAGCCCCTCTAGAACGAATAGATATAAGTTGCTCAAGATCACAGTAAGTTGCTCAGGAGAATTCCACAGCAAATTATACCCATAATCAAGCATGTATAAAAAGCAACAAACTGTGCCTTTCTGGCTGTTAATAATCCCTTTCTAAACTCTCCTTTTGAAAATACAAACCAAAGCAAAGTTCCACCAGCTTTGCATTTTTTGAAGGGCTTCCAACTTCAAGCACTTCCACTAACCCAGAAAATGGTCCCTATGTGGCAGAGATGTGCCTTACAGTGAATGGGAGGGAATGTTGAAAGGAATGTGCCAAGGGCTGCTGCTTGTGAGAGCAATTGGTCCTGGACTAGACAGTCAAGTGACTTAGTCCACTATATCATACACCTTCATGCATATACAGTGGTACCTCTGGTTAAGAACTTAATTCGTTCCGGCGGCCTGTTCTTAACCTGCAACTGTTCTTAACCTGAGGTACCACTTTAGCTAATGGGGCCTCCCACTGCCGCCGCGCCACCGGAACATGATTTCTGTTCTCATCCTGAAGCAAAGTTCTTAACCCAAGGTACTATTTCTGGGTTAGCGGAGTCTGTAACCTGAAGCGTCTGTAACCTGAGGTACCACTGCAGGTCAAACAGAGCTCCATTTTATAGGCTGTGAACACCCTATTCCTTTAAAGCACATTCAAAACACATTCTTTCACTCAAAGAACTCTAGGCTCTGAAGTTTTCACCTCACAAAGTTGCAATTCTCAGCACTTTTAACAAACTGCAGTACCCAGAATTCTTTGAGGGAATGAATGTGCTTCAAATGTGCTTTAAAGGCATAGTGTGTACACAACCACACTGTCCTGAAAACTGCTATGGGGATACTCACTTGGCAGGGGAGACACCTTGATCATGAAGGAGGTTTTCCCAGGGTGAGGCTCATCCACTGCACTGCGGGTGTGCTGACCCCTGTGATTTTCCCAAATGTGTGTGTGTGGGGGGGACTGCTATGGGAAAAAAGGAAATGTTCTGTCCCACTTTGAGACATTCAAAGGTGGAAGACTCTAAATATGCACAGGCACATTTCAATGCATATGGGTCATGTGCAAGTACGCAAGTACCAGTGTGTAGACCAGGGGCATTGAACGCAGGGCTTCTAGCTGCTGTTGGACTACAAGTCCCACCATCTTGCCCCCTGGCTATGCTGGTTGGGGCTAATGGGAGTTGGAGTCCAGCAACTGCTGGAGGGCATCACGTTGGCTACCCCTGGTGTAGACACTGTGTGGACACACAGGTAAGATGATCCTGCCACTATGCTCTCACCCCCTGTGCTGTGCATGTCAACTGAATGTGTGGAGTCCTTCCTGAACATCTGAAAATGGCTCCTGACTTAGGGTGATGATTTATAAATATTCATTCTCCTTTGGATTCCCATAAACAGTTGCCCTTATGTTGACATGGTCCCACTCAAGATGGCCACATTCACTTTCCATAGATGGAGATGCACCACTGAACATGCACAAACACCTATGCCAATTGTCAGCTAAAGATAAATATGCTTCAGTCAATACTGAATTCTGATCCTTCTTTTCCCGGCTCATAGAGGAATTTTTTTCTAGTCTACATCATGTCATTATTTATGTTCAATTGTAACCTGTTAATCATATAATGTTTTTGACTGATAATCGCTTCTTAGAAGACTTCTAATTATGTTCATATTAGCCTTTCTGATCATGAAGGTATATTGGGGATAAATTGCAGACCTCCTCATTATTCTTCATGAAAGCTAGGCCAATAACTGCCCTGGTATCATTGATAACGGATTCCTCTCTGTTCTATTATCATCAAAGGAGCAGTCTGAATACTATTTATCTGTCAAAATTGGACTTGTTAACCTTGATGTTGCAGCTTGTAAAGAGGGGAGATAAATGTCTCCTTCAACAGGCACTTGAAACCTCCTGCTGTAATTTATTACAAAATTGCCACCCCAATAAAAATGTTAAATACTAAAGGAACATTCTGTAAAACAAAAACAAAACAAAACAAAACAAAAAAACCTGGATCCAGTCCAGAAAAGTTAAGTGCCGGAGTCAATGAGACTTGAGCACACTAAGCATCTTGCATTCTTGGTATCAATGGGGCAAATTTTCCTCTGTATTGTTCCATTTCTATCTATCACCTATCTATCTATCATCTATCTATCTATCTATCTATCTATCTATCTATCTATCTATCTATCTATCTATCTATCATCTATCTATCTATCATCTATCTATCTATCATCTATCTATCTATCTATCTATCTATCTATCTATCTATCTATCTATCTATCTATCTATCTATCATCTATCTATCTATCTATCATCTATCTATCTATCTATCTATCTATCTATCTATCTATCTATCTATCATCTATCTATCTATCTATCTATCTATCTATCATCTATCTATCTATCATCTATCTATCTATCTATCTATCATCTCTTTCGCTCCTTCTCCAAGCTAGCAAGATCACCATCAAATAATAGCATGACCCTACAATCTGATTTAGAAGACAAGAAAATGGGAATGATTAGGTTGTCCCCCCATGACTCAGACAAGTTGCACGGATGTAGAAACACAGGACAGGGCTACGACACCAGTTGGACTGCACTGTGCAAAACAGTTTTATCAGGATACAAATGAAAAACAGTCATGGGACTGTTTGATGGGTTGCCCATGTAATGACGTTTTGTAAAGCACTTCAGATACAAAAAGGCTTTATAGAAATTGGCAAAGGTAAAGGTACCCCTGACCATAAGATTCAGTCGCAGACAACTCTGGATTGCGCGCTCATCTTGCCCTATAGGCCAAGGGAGCTAGCACTACTTAAATACACATAAGTTTTGGTGACACTGTCCCTGTGGCAGGAGCTGCCCTGGACATTGGCACCAGCTCTGCTCCTGGATCTGATCTGGATGGAAGAATGAGGGAGGGACAACCAGAAATGCTGCTGACATCAGCTGTGATTTCAAGAACTATAACTTTAAGAAGTCGTGCTTGATCTTGATCTTCCTTGCTCTCTTCAATTCCTTTTTCCTTGTGTGTCATGCCCTTTTAGATTGTGAGTCTGAGTGAACGGTTGTGTTAAAACTGATTTTTGTAAGCTGCTCTGGGAGCATTTTTGACTAAGAAGTGAGGTATAAATGCATCACTGTTGTTGTTGTTCATTGTGCATTATGTTGAGGCAACACTGACGGTGTTCCTGTGGCCATGAAATAAAACCAAGGGAAATACCATTTTTATTATATTTAATATTAGACAAGAACCATAACAGTTTGATTTTTTTAACAGAAAAAATATTTCTTTCTTTCTTTCTTTCTTTCTTTCTTTCTTTCTTTCTTTCTTTCTTTCTTTCTTTCTGCCTCTCACAGAATATTGATCCGATTGCACATGTTGGAAAATTAAGGCCAAATTAATAATACTATCGTATCTAGTAAATAGCTACTTTTTCAATATTTTAGAATACCATGGAGGTATTCACTGGTGATCTCAGTTGGAGGAGGAACATAACACTTTTTGTAGTTTAACAACCTTCTGTATAAGGATGACTTCAAAGAGTTTGCAGAGCAGCAGGGCTGACTCCTTTGCTCCTCAGATTTAGGCTCTGGAAATGGCACATGCCTTAACTCTGTTACTGTATTTACTTTTGCAAGACGCTTCGAATGGGTACGGTGGAGTTCCACATTTTTTTACAACCTATTGGCTCCTTCAAGGTGATTCACTAGCAAATTGTTCCAATGACTGGAAAGGGCGCAGCTACTCTCAGTTGAAGAGCATTGCCATTTTGAAAGGTTGGGTTTTCCTGCTCATCAACATTTTGTCTTTAGACAGGAAGGAAGTAGCTCTGGCAGCGTTGATAAAATATGGGACATATTTTGGGACCATATTATTGCCACGGGCATGACGCAGTTCTGGAGTTCTGCTTCTATGAAACTAGAGCAACACAGGGTTCTTAGAGGACACAAACAAGACTTTTAACATAAAATGAAACCTCTGTGCTTTAACTAAAAGCAACCCAGAGCGCTTTAGGGCTCTGCAGGAAACCTTTTGGACAGCCTCAATTTTTGCATAGCCCATGAACGTAGGAAAAAAGGGAGAAACAAAGGAAATGTAGTGCAGAAAAGCTCAGAATGAGGGGGTTTAGATACTTTGTGGTGGCCTCTATCTGATTCTGGGTTTCACCTCAATTCACCTTGTTTTTCAGCCCTCGACTCAGCTCATGCATGCAACTATTATTTGTTGCATTTGTTGTGCCCTACATTTTCCCCAAGATGGTTCACGTGGTGTTGTTGTTTAGTCGTTTAGTCGTGTCCGACTCTTTGTGACCCCATGGACCAGAGCACGCCAGGCACTCCTGTCTTCCACTGCCTCCCGCAGTTTGGTCAAACTCATGTTGTAGCTTCGAGAACACTGTCCAACCATCTCGTCCTCTGTCGTCCCCTTCTCCTTGTGCCCTCCATCTTTCCCAACATCAGGGTCTTTTCCAGGGAGTCTTCTCTTCTCATGAGGTGGCCAAAGTACTGGAGCCTCAGCTTCAGGATCTGTCCTTCCAGTGAGCGCTCAGGGCTGATTTCCTTAAGAATGGAGAGGTTTGATCTACTTGCAGTCCATGGGACTCTCAAGAGTCTCCTCCAGCACCAGAATTCAAAAGCATCAATTCTTCGGCGATCAGCCTTCTTAATGGTCCAGCTCTCACTTCCATACATCACTACTGGGAAAACCATGGCTTTAACTATATGGACCTTTGTTGGCAAGGTGATGTCTCTGCTTTTTAAGATGCTGTCTAGGTTTGCCATCGCCTTTCTCCCAAGGAGCAGGCGTCTTTTAATTTCGTGACTGCTGTCACCATCTGCAGTGATCGGTTCACGTGTAGGTAAAGGTAAAAGGACCCCTGACCATTAGGTCCAGTCATGACCGACTCTGGGCTTGTGGCGCTCATCTCGCTTTATTGGCCGAGGGAGCCGGTGTACAGCTTCCGGGTATGTGGCCAGCATGACTAAGCCGCTTCTGGCGAACCAGAGCAGCACACGGAAATGCCATTTACCCTCCTGCCGGAGCGGTACCTATCTATCTACTTGCACTGGTGTGCTTTCGAACTGCTAGGTTGGCAGGGACCGAGCAACGGGAGCTCACCCCATCGCGGGGATTCGAACTGCCGACCTTCTGATCAGCAAGTCCTAGGCTCTGTGGTTTAACCCACAGCACCACCCGCGTCCCGGTTCACGTGGTAGTTGTGAGAATAAACTGCCATTACCACATAACTAGCCTTTGAAGTAGGGTTAAACTGAGAGACTCTTCTGTAAGCTTCATGTGGATGAGTAGGGCTGGTCCAACATGTAGACTTAGTTATTCTTTGGCAGCATCAGTCTGTTTGAAGACCGCTAGCTGAGGCAGACTGACATGCAGCAATTCCAGCCCAAACACGGACAGTGGTTCACTCAGTTGTACATCTGTGCCAAGGATGGCTTCTTCTTTTTAATTCCATACCCCTAATTGCCATTGAACGGTTAGCCACCAATGCTGCTAATTGCTATTTGTAGTTGTTTTGTTCTTTTTAAGTGGAAATATCAATCGAAAGTTAAATAATAGCAAAGAAAGAGGAGTTCTTTTCAGCAAGGGCTTCAGGCACCATGTGGTGATGGATGGTCATAACAATGGCTATATATCTCTGTCCAGAATTAAAGTGGCATATAAATGGTTTAAATAAACAAATAAATAAAAATTGTAGGTAAAATTATTTAATAAACTTTCTGAGAATTTGGAGAGAGTGTGGCAATTCGGAGTGGTTGCTCCTGAAGATTTGGGGTGGGACCGTCCTACCTCATCCAAAGAGAATAGAACTTAATCAAGTTAAGAGATTTTCCAACTTTCCCCTGAATAAACTCCAAAGACCAGCCCCAATGGGTAGTTTTCCCATTACTTGTGAAAGGTGCTAGAAAAGATGTTGGCTTGTGAGCAAATAGGTTAGTGTTTTTTAATGACAGCTGAGAGAGGTAT